AAATATTACTGTTACCAGAGATTCGCTGCCAAAATAATTGGTGTTTGCAGATTATTTAATAGGTCCTTTGTAAAAGTCACATTGGTATGTGACTGCATGTTAAAAAATGAACAAAAAAACACCCCATGTTCAGTTATAATGTTCTGAGTTTTTATAAGTTAAGGTGATGTAACATTTATTACCATTTATGGGTAGGATAACTATAATAAATGAGGAATCAGTATTCAGAATAAAACTCCAAATATAGTGTATTTATTCTCTGAATACACCACAAATAATAATAAATCTCTTTGGGTAACCAAAATATACAAATTGATAATCTATAAACTATACATTTTTCGGTAATATGTTAAGTGAATGGAGGAATTCAACAGGAAATTTCCATGCACCTTAATTTCCACATTCAATTTGTATCTTTCATGTTGAATAAATGGATAGACCTGAAGCAATATCATTTGCTATCTCAGTCAGAAACGTTATCGCTACAAGGAGTGTCTCTAAACACTTACATAACCACAATGTTTATACCATGCAAACTAAATGTTTGTCGTTAACTCGAGCTAATCATCATTTTGTAGTAGAACGATGAATTGTAGAAAATTTATTTCTAATATAGTGATAAGATATAAGTCACTAGCCAATGTATTTGTACTCAATTCATTTTCAAAAAAATATAGGAAATTAGTCTATTGCGTAGCTATTCAAGTATAAGTTAATTAGCTAATGGAAATTACTATGCAATTTCATGTTTTTCAAACCATCTTGATAATAATACATTTGGATGACTGAATAAAACGTTCATAAAAATCATCAATTCTGTTGTATGTGTTTTTTGTATGATGTACAAATTGCGTGTACATGAATAACTACGTTTAGTTGAACAATAAAAGCATTTTGTGATAAACAATCAGCTAAGAGTCTATTGTCAATTGCTACTAAACCTTTTAGTGAAACATTTCTCTGGTTATATACTATCCTCTTTCTAAATATTTGTATTGCAATGTACATCTACTTGTATTATTCTGATGATGAAGGCTGATAGATTTTCTGATTAAAAATGCAACATTTTTATTCTTTTATTCCATGTAATGCAACAGGCAAAACATGTATTCTGATAGGATGACTTTTCGTAAATTGACTGATAAGTATTATCTTAAAAGGTTTTTTTCAGCAAACTCACTGTAGATCCATCAGGTAGTCAGCAATTTGTTAACCCTAATAATGAAAACAAATAGTGTAATAAGAGTATGACCTTAAATAAAATTAGTGCACTGACAACTGTTATAGCGATATCAATATCCAGCTATAACATAATCAAGATTGTGAATTGACTGGAGCTGTAATTAGCAAAAGAAATGATAATTGGTGTTTTCAAAATCTACAGTGAATATGATGAGACAACGTTCTTTTAACTTTTCTACATCATGTTTGATTGATCATGCATTAAGTAGTACAGTTTACTTCTACTCACTTAATTTTCAAACAGTTGGACATTAATGACAATGAATGTAAAGCGGTATTATCGAATTAGAAAATATTCATTAAAAATAAAAACAAATTAAACACCCTCTTTTTGCATGTCGGGTAACATTGGAGTTGTCGAATACTTCTTTAACCTTAAAAAAGCTTTATACAGTGCTGTTTTTAATCTCATGAGCTAAGAAACGCGTAGTATCGTTTTAATAATGGTAAGATATGTAAATATATATCAGTACTTGTAGCATGTTTAATTATTTGAAGATTGTAATAATTTGTTAAAACTAATACCTTGTTTGAGTCCAGAAGAAATCAGCTCATAAAATATAAAATATAATGGTGAAAATAAGCATGAGACCGACTATAAGAACACTAAGTGTTATGTAAGATTTATTAGTGTAAGTTTTATTTCTTTCGAATACATATATTGCTTCTTGTGATATGATAACATTTGCTCTAAACATTTGACTTATATGGTGTATTTCAAGTTATTCAGTGAAATTCCATAGTCATGAAGTACTATAATAATTGAAAAAAATGAGTCAGTTAAATGTATATCAACATTTTAACTACCAATCTATCTTATATCAAATGTTTACCAAGGAAATATCTATGGACCATTAGAGACATAATTATTAATGCATATTTGGTTTGGATAATCAAGTGTAAATACTTAGATAGTACACTTCTATATTTCATGCAAATTAAAGATAATAATAACTATATTGACCAATTTTTGATATTACAAAATGATCATTTGAATAAGATCAGTTCATTTGTGATGTAATTGTTTATTGATAAAGTAGATATAAGAGGTAAAGTGCTTTTCTGTACAACCTAAATACTTTATTGGGTTTGAATCTTTCTCAAATATTTTCAACTCATATGTTTTTGGTGATATCAACGTAAATGTTTTGTAACATAAACATTTATTGATGTCAGCTACATTAGTTTCTCTTATAATTGAAAAAGGTATAGATGCACTGATCTCAATAAGTATGTGATAAATTATTTTCATTTCTTATTCCAACGAGTAGAACTAACTATTCTACCTTCATCGATGTTAATTCAGTGCTTCAATATCTTACGAATTTCATAAATAACATTGATCTTTAAACCACTATTCAATGTAGTATGATACAGTAATTTATAGCAAAATAGAAGTTCTGTTAAAGTATTTACAATTTAGTTCCGTACCATAAAGTGTGTGTTGAAAAAAAATTTGTTTCGAGATAATCTGTGAAAGTACTTACACGTATTTAACAATGAAACACATTTTCTAAAGACACCATATCAATAAATAAAATAGTCGTCTATCTTAGGTTATTTATAATACAAATACATAGTCTGTTGGTTTTAGTTATTTCATTTTACTGCTTTGTATAATTTGCCCAATGACGTAAGCATAACTGAGTGACTATAATTTAATCATTGTTTCAAATAATTACTTATAAGAGACAATTAATAGATTTGCTTATTATTTTACGTAGAGAGACTAGTTTACTCATAATTTATTATGGAAGTAAAATTATTATCGTCACTGAAAGATACTTCAAATGAAAAAAACTTATGATAAGTTAATGCTCACGTAGAATGCTACATCAAAAGTTTCTAAACGTAATGTATCATATCTTAGTGTTTATAGATGTTATATTGTCCATTGATTATAGTTACATTATTTAAAATAAGTACCTAGAAGGCAAGGAGTTCAATTGTACGTTTCATATTATAGAACCAATATGTAAAATATATTTCTTTCTGTATGGTAAACGAGATTATTTAGTATTATATATCTAAACATTTATGTAATATGTTTTGTACTATTGAATTCCAATATAGTTGTACTATAAAAGAGGAACCGCTAAGTAGACATTTTTTGGGAGAATAATTATGTTTGTATGGTGATCAGAAGTCAGTTTTTCTTTTTAGACACAAAGGTAATCAGCAATATATCCAGAACACACTAAAAAATGATCTTTTGACGATCAAATGACGACTCATATACACAGAAGGTTTAGTCTTGCGCTCTCCTTATGTACCAAAAACAATTATATTAAACTAAACCTTAGTCTATATTCATTAAAAGAAAGAAAACTATTTCTCATGAATTTTTGTATAACTAGAAATAGGTTTCGCCAATAATTCATATCTAAACATGAGAAACAATCTATCATTCATGTGAGTTGTAGTTGTTAAATATAGAAAGTATTATTATTACACTCATTGATTTTACCATTTCTAAGATGACTTATCATGAAATTACCATATCAACTGTAGATACATTTTCTACTATTTATTTCATAACTAAATTGATTTTCTCGTCACTTCAATATCTCTCCAATCATTCTTCAAATGTATTTACTTATCTTGTTTTTACAAACAACTAATTCAGCTCAAAAATCTTCTTCATTGTGTATATCGTACCCCAATTTATGGAAAGGCATTATCACTCAAATACTTTTCTATAATTCAAGATACATAATTTATTATACACATGTTTTTGACATTTATGAATGAAATAGAGTTATCCATTCTTTTGTTTTAAGAAGTTAGTCATCGTTAAGGGTTTATTCTTCAACTCCGTTAACCGACTCAAAGTTGGAAATATCTATAGAAAAGAAATTTTCGGAACTTGATAAAATTTAAAAAGTTGTTTTACATGATAATTATTCTTTTGAATGGGTGTTTAAGATAAATTTAATTTTCTTTGAATTGTTTGACATTATACCCTAAATTATTTGAAGTATTTCATACATAATGTTGAAACATTAATTCATATAGTTGATTGGCTGTAATACGTTTGTTATCTGATGGCTTTATATCTGACTCCAGTTAGATCTGATGAATGATTGTGATTGAAATATACATGTCTCCAATCCTCGTATATTATCATCGACTTAAATAGTGTTAGTAAATAACGAAATTAAATAAGTCAAATACGAGAATGAAGTTTAAATGAGTATATTTCATATAACCGTTGATCTGGACAGACAATCAGGGAGATGGAGCGAAGGAGGTGAAATGGATTGGAGAAGGCATGTTAGCTAACTCAATTTATCCAAGCCTGAGTCGATATTTATAGTCGGACAAAAGTAAGATGCAGACATGTGATGAATTATAAATGTACACAGTTATGCTTACATAAAAATAGTCACGGTTGACAAGCGAATAAATGACAAGGTAAAAATGTGAAGTGAGAAGAAGAATGAATAGATTGATCTGTCCAGAGGCTAGAATAAGTTATGTGGGCTTGACATAGTACCAGCCCCTATAATTATAATAGAGTACAAATAAATAAATGTAAATTGAATCAGATATAATTTCCTTTCTATAGCTTTCTAAATCAAAACTACTTTCAAGCTGTCAAGAGTTGAATGATTAAATCGTTTGCACATTAAGATAATTTTATGTATTATCTTTTTGTAATATGATGCATAACATTTTTAGATTTAATAAGCGACAATAGTGTCTACTACTACTGAATATCCATTTTGACTACCTTTATTTTCATTCTTCTAATGTAGATAACTTAGAAGACATGATACAGAATCTACTGGATCCCAGAGAATTATTTATTATTGTTATAATTTCAAGTGATCAGCTAACACAATAATTCACCAACGACATAATTTTCATTTTATAACTTTATTATACACAGTCAGTGGAATGTTCTATAATGTTTACTGAAAAAATATGTAACAATCAAAAATGGGTTCATCGTGCTACGTTTTCAGGCGCATGATTAAAACATAGTTTTGTGTTTCTTTACAAGGTAATACCTGAAAATCTATTTCTGATAGTCTTCAATGTTTTTTATACTACAAAACTCAATATTTTAATGTGAATAATTCATAATATAAGTAGAGATAATTATCAATAATAACAGTAATTATATAATTTAGTTTTTATCAAACGAATTCGAGTAATTTAATTCAATCAGAAAGGCGCTAAAAATGTAATTAAAATCACTTTTCGAAATAAACCATTATGGAATTTATAAATACCATATATTGCCATCTTTTTATCGTGATAAATCTATCTACACAATCAATATCTAAATATTAACCATTAATATTATAGATAATTGAGTTTTAATAATTGGATTTCTTCTCCTTTTTTTCGAGTATAGCTGTTTGAGGAAACAAATTATCCATATGAGTTTAGAGCCATAGAATACTTTAGCTTTTTGTGAATTTCCATAAAATATTGAGTTATAGATAGACATATACAAGATCTTTTGTTTGTAAACTAAAATTTTGTAGTTGTTAACAGTACATTGAAAAATAATCTCAGCTCTTTATCTTATATGAACTGATCAAATATAGTAATAAAAAGATTACATAATTTGATCATCTTATGAAACCAATTATCATTTACAACTCATTACTATTGGGAACCATTAATTAATCAGAATAATTTGAATAACAACTTTTATAGTGCGAATAAACTTAAATGTCAAAGTAAATCCTGAAAACTGCTTCTAACAAAACTAGCACAGATCCCTTATCGATTATCAAGTTTTTTGAGGTCTTCTGATGATCTAGGAACCTGTTTTCAATAATGCTTAGTTCGTTTACCCGTAAATTCAGTTACCTGAATGATTCATATAAACATCATTACACCAGCTGCTTTTAATATCATAGACACCTTTATTGTACCTCATCAGGAATTCTGTTCGAGGTTTTCACTAATGCCGGTCTAACTGTATCACCAACACGAAAATAAACTTTTACATAACATTTGTTTAGATTTTCTCCGAAATTCCTTGAATGTTTCTTCATACCAACGAACACTAACCTTTGACTGAAGGGTATATAAACTAGACACCTCTCAGAATGTGTCGATTTTAAGAATACACTAGCTTTCTCACGACTGCTATATCTTTCTTTGATCAAACAATCATAGAGTGCTAGTTTGTAATCAGTCGATTCGATCTCTCTTGCCAACTTAGTACTATATGACATAATGTTTACCTTTTCAATTCATCCTTTTTATTTATCTCGCTCGGCAAAAAAGAAATGTGATTGATATGCAGTTACCAGATGTTTGGTAGTTTCGAACATTTTATGACTGGATTTATTTCTAAAGAATAAATGTAAAACGTTGTTCGAATCGGTGACTTTGGGAACTCGCAGTTCCTATATTTTTGTGTCGATTCAGATTGCATCCGACAGTAAACTAGGTATAACGTACATATAATTCCAGGCATTTAATATTTTTAAGGAGCTTGACAACCAAGGTAAAGTCGTCATATTCTATCCATTACTATCTCTCAATAGATACATTGATGAATACAAAAGTAAATATCAGAAGGGGTTTTGTGGATATAACAGTAACTTCAACAGTTCAGATCATAAGTCAATTAAAGCTAGACCACCATTAAAAACCTGGAAGCACTGGATGGCCGTTTCGTCCTATTGTGAGAAGCAGTGACCAATGAAGTTCAACCGGGTCTGTTGTGAGATAGTAACTCACTGATGACAATGGTGGATAGTGGCGCAATTTTTTAGACTAGTTGAAGTTAGATATTAACACCATTGGATGCCGGCTCATTGAACTAGTGGTTAAGCATTCGCGCTCCAGACTGATAAGTAGTGGGTTCAAATCTGGCCAGACGAGATCGTGGATGCGCACTGGTTAGGAGTCCCATATTAGGATGAAACGGCCATCTAGTGCTTCTAGGTTTTTCATGGTGATCTAGCTTCAATTGGCTCATGATCCCAACTATTGAAATTACATAAATAAATGAAAACTTATCATATTTTTATCATCAACCTGATAAATTGAATTGAATATATTCTCTAACCATTTTCTACTAGAATATATCAATGTTATGTCTTAGTATTTGTGATCGCTTCACAATTAATCGTGTTAATTGAAAAAAGTTATTTTTCATTAAGCATTTACATGATAGTGTAATTAACACTTTAAATGTCATGCAATTAAATAATCAAGTTACTTTTCACTTTATCTAAACATGTTTACCGAAGCTTATAATGACAAAGCTTCATTGAGTTGATAAATTTTTAGTAAATATCATATATTTTATGTATTCCATAAACTATTATTTTTTTAGATATACTATAAACAAAATGTTACTGCTTATGTTAGTTGTTGTTACTGTGACTTAGACTAAAAATAAACATTTTGCTTTCTGAAACAACTAACATATCTACGATGTATTTTGCCCTTAACCTGGCCATTTTTTCGGATTATTAATTTGGATATATAACTGTAGAACCTAATTTATCGAAAAGAATATTCTTCGTTCAAATACTAGTCTTTTAATATGACGGGGATCTTTGAACGATATCTATGACAGTCAACAATCTTTACAACCTTATACTGATACCTATAAAAGTCGATTAAACTGTAAAAAGATAATGATTATACATTTGAAGATACACATGAAACTGAATACAATAAAATCTAGTTAATTTAAAACCATATGAATAAGTACAATTGTACTTTGATCAATATATAAACGAATGTACATTTATATGGCTGACATGAATTGATTTTAACTTCATCCCATTTTTCTTCCTATTTCTACTTCATTTACATACATATAGTTTTTTTAATTATTCCATATTCTTGTCACTAGGTCATAATATATGACCATTGTAGAAAAATTCAAATAGTGGGATATACTAAAGCTTTATATAATAAAAAATTATTTACCTTTATCCAAAATACATAATCAACTGTCTCATATGTTTAGTATTATTTCTTTTGTTATATACAAAATATATTTGAAGTTCATTAGAAGATGCTGTGATTTGACCTAAACAGTATTCATAGACAAGAGTTAAAAGAAGCTGCTCCGCATTGTAGATATTTATGTTGCTCTAAATAATTCTACATTTATAAAGTTTAGTGATCATGATCGATAAATGTGTTAAAGGTAACTTGAATCAATTAAATATGTTTATATATTATTTATTAATCCAGGATTTTCAACTGATAAGTTTGACTTATTACACAGTGATTAGTTTCAAGCTTTACATTAAGCTGAAAGGTTTACATTACTGTGTAGAAATAAATTGAAATAACTAAAATAATAAATACATTCATTCAGTGTTTATCCTAAAAATGTGTATTTCACGTTTGATTGTAATTAAATTTAATTAAAAAGTACATAACAAAAGAACATGATTAATATGTAGATCGAATCAAAACCAGTTAAACACTAGCTGAAGTAATAAAACATTAATTTACCCCCTACTGAAAAGGATTGCTTAGTTAGTACAGCTAGTGCAATACAAAACACATAAATTTACCAACTAAGCTAGCTCCTAATTTTGAATTCCTAAGCAAATGTTTTTCTTTTCAGTACTTATCAGTCAGTAATGAAGTAAAACTATTTTATATTATAGTGAACGATTTGCTTTTTGATATTAGTAAAGTAACAGTAGACATATTTTATAGTTCACTAGACAAACTGATCAACCAAAATTGAATTGTTCATATGAACTTAACTTACATTTCAAATTCGAGTTTATAATGATTATCTGTGGCACTTACGTGTTTTATAACCTTGTCTAACAGTGAATATAACATTAGTAATTTATTAGTTGTTCATTGACATATACTAGAAAGACAGAAACTTCCTACTTCTAAATTAAATTGTACCATGTCAGTAAATCATTAGTTGATGTAGTTTAGAAGTTTGTATAAATTAGATGGGCAGATACACTAATTCACAGTTATTTTCACAAATTTTTCAATCTAATAAGTTGGTAAGATATGTATAATCATTGTAATAACACTACACTGCCTACTTCATTCTGATTTATTCTATTCAATAGCTGCTAATTTGTATCATATATCATCACTTAATGATATAATTCACCTTTAATTTTGATATATATTTCCTACTTAATTAAATTTCATAAAAGGTGAAATATATTTATATGACCTATTCTTACACTTTTTCAGAAGTATATGCCGTCTAAAAAGTGGAACGACATGTAAAATGATCAATTTGTGTACATCCGAATAAGAATATTTTCATAATCCTTTAAAACAATGTCTTGAACTATTATTCATTTTTTTATACGAAGACATTGAATTATGATTTGATGGATATGAAACAAACGATTTCTACACAAATGGAAAGTTACTTGGATAAATATAATGAAACTAAAGAGATTGAATCACCATGTCAAGAAGTAAAACAACCAAATATAATCAATGAAGTAAATGATTTAACAACTATTAAATGTATACATTCAAGTTTACAAGATGAATTAAATTTATCATTTTTCAATCAAAATCAATCATTAAAAATAAATCATAAACATAATAAAGCGCCTAAATTAAATTATAATCACCGAGTGAAAAATAAACATTTAAAAAATCAATATTCTAATCATGAAATGAATCAAATTTCAAATGAATTATCTTCTACATCATTATCACCTTTACCAAATGAATATAATTCATCTTTATTAACACAAATTAAACGTCAATTTAGACAATTTTGTGAAACAACTTCATTACGTGGTGTTCCAAGAATTGTTAGTACAAAAGATTCAAAACGTCGATTTTTATGGCTTATCTTTGTAATTTCATTTTTTATTGGTTGTATCACATGTTTAACATTTATTATTAGTCAATATTTAGAATTTGATGTAATTCATCAACCTAAAAAATTATATGATCAACCACGTCCATTTCCATCTGTAACATTATGTAATCTACGTCCATTTTCTACACGTGATATAAGAAAATTAAAAAAAGCTGGAGTGTTACCAGTAGATATGTATTTTGAAATGTTAAAACGTTTTATGATCAGTGTACCAATGGAATACCGACGTTATTTAACTATGCTATGGGATTTTTCTACCTATTTAGCTAATCTACCTGATTTAGTTGATGCAAATAATTTAGGTCATACATTAGAAGATATAGTGAAACGTTGTTTTATTTTATATAAAACAGGTAGTGTAACAAGAGGTACAGCCTGTGAAAAATCAGGTTATTGGACTAAAACACAAGATCGTGTATTTCATAACTGTTATACATATACAATTAATCCAAATAAAACAAACACAGCATTAAACATGGAACTTGTAGTTTATTTGGATAATTTAATTGAACAAACTGATTGCTTTGATTGTCAAGTAAGTAGTTTTCATTAATAAATATTAGTTCATTATAACGTGTATAATCATCGATCATTTAACTTGTTTCTGTTGTATTTGATCGTCGTTGATCACTTATACTCGGAAAAAGGGACCACGGAGATTCCCGCGACGCGAAAGTAAGAACACAAGACTGGTATAAGGGAAAATTTATTAGCCACAAACACTATGAAAACGACGAATCAAGATAGTCTAAAATACACTGGTTTATATTATTGATTTTTCACCCATTTTGATTAATAATTAGGATTAAATCACAGACTCAGTTATAACAAATCACTTACTAAGCATAGTTCAAGTCAAGTGAATACAAGAATATCGCATATTATACAGAAGAAAATATCATACTGGGAGAACAATCAAATATTACACTGAATGATCCTCATGTTGAATCAAAACGGATGTAATATTGAATAAAAGTCATAATGAGTAATTCAATCGAAAATTTACTTTTCTTTTCATCATATCAAACAATAATTAATCTACTGGGTATAACTCGGGTCCTAACAGTTTCACTGTGTTGTACTACGTGGACAATTTCGAAAGTTCTCTTTCTCAATACTTTATTCCTATTGGCAATTCATCGATCAAGTTATATAGAATTATCAGAAAGAAGATTTGTGACGATTGTAGTAATTTTAGTAGTTGAATTCATGAGTCGATTTAAGCTCGACCACTACTGAAAACCTAGAAGCACTGGACGACCGTTTCATTCTATTATGGGACTCCTCAGCAGTGTCTATCCACGATCCCATACGTGGGACTCGGACCCATGACCATCGGTAACTAGTGAGAACACTTAACCCACGGACCAGTGAGCCGTCTAGAGCTTCCAGGTTTTTAATTGTGGTCTAGCTCAGATTGAGTAATGAATTCAACCATTAGAATTGCTACAAAATTCACATATCCTTTTTCTGATAATAATCATGTGCTCACTAGTGACTAGCATTAAGATGGGTTCCCTAGAGTCCTAGTAAGAAGCCGTGACCAGTGAAGTCCAATCCGTGTCGAGTGTAGACAGCTATCCACCTCAGACAGTAGGTGAAGGGCTGGGAAATATCATGAGTCGACTGAAATTAGACATTAACATTTTGGATGCCTGCCCTGTGGTCTAGAGGTTAGGCGTTCGCGAAGGTGAAGTTTCTAGTTTCCAGTCCTACGTGTGGGATTGTCGATGCACACCTCTGAAGAGTCCGAGAATGGGAAGAACCGGCCATTCAGTGCTTCTAGGTTTTGAGTGGTGGTCTACCTTAAATCAACTCATGAATTCAACTATTAAAATTATATAGAATTACACTTATTTGACATTCAGAAAATGATCCGGAAATAAAATACTCATTTAATTTGTCTTTATTTGAGAGATTGTTAATCCAACTATTAGTTATGTAATTATGCATGCATTTTGTGAAGGTAGACAGACTTAATTTGTAAAATAAACTTAGTGGAAATTAATTTTACGAATTGGTTTTCAAAGAATTTCCACAGAATAATAAATGCCATCTGAATAAAACTAAAATCCTCCACCTGTAGCTCTTCTAGAGTTACTCCTGGTCTCAAGCCTGAGTAACTGAGGAGGGTTAGGCATATGGTTGGCAACAACATCTCATAGAAATAAGTTTTTCTAAATAAACGCCAACCAGATTAAACAAAGCGAACCATTAGAACTCTGCCCTGAGAGTTGAAGGAAGAATTATGACGCCTCATGATAAAAACCGAGATTCTTTGGAAGTCACGAGTCTGTTGCATTTTCTGACAACCAGAGCAACAATTTTTATAGGTATATGGAACATCCGGACAGTGTGGGAGACCGTGAGGACCTGTCAACTATCAACAAAGATGAAGAGATACAACTTGGCTGTAATGGAATTCAGTGGAACCCATTGGACCCGAGCTGAACAGCAAAAGCTAAATACGGTAGAGAAGCTGCTGTACTCCGGTCACGTAGATGAAAATGATCCGTACACTAAGTTAGCTGTTCTGGTACTGTCCACAGAAGCACGTAAAGCACTTATGGAATGCGAATCTCATGAACCAAGGGTCATCAAGACATCCTTCAAAACAAAGAAGCAGGGAATCACAATGAATGTCATCCAATGTTATGCACCCATCAATGATAGCAATGGCGACAGTAAAGATCAGTTTTATGAGAGACTGCAATCAGTCATAGCAAACTTCCCAGGAAACGACCTGTCCATCCTGATGGGAGCTTTAAACGCCAAGGTCGGAATGGAAAACACCGGATATGAAGATATCATGGGACGACATGGACTGGGTGAGAGCAACGGAAATGGGGAGAAATTTGCAAACCTATGTGTATTCAACAAATTGGTTATAGAAGGCACAATATTCCCACACGAAGCTGCATGGATCTCACCGGACCACACCACAGAGAAACAGACAGATCATATCTGCATCAATAAAAAAGTCCGAAGGGCAATGGAAGATGTGAGATCCAGGAGAGGAGCTGACATAGATTCAGATCACCACCCAGTTGTGGCCAATTTAAAACTGAAGCTAAAGAAGAACTGAACAACTGGTTGAACATCATTACAAAGGTTCAATACAGCCTTTCTTCGAGATACTGACAAACTCAATGAATTCAAGATAGCTCTCAACAACAGGTTCCAAGCCTTACGGGATCTCCTGAAAGAAAAAGAAACCACTACGAAGGACAACTGGAAAGGTATCAAAGAAGCATTGACTTCAACGTGTCAGGACGTTCCGGGCCTCAAGAAGCATCATCATAAGGAATGGATCTCTATAGAAACACCGGACAAGATAAAAGAAAGGAAGAACAAGAAGACAGCAATTAACAACAGCCAAACACGAGCAGAGAAAGTTCAAGCACAAGCTGAATACATAGAAGCAAATAAGCAAGTGAAGAAAAGCATTAAAGCTGACAAGAAGAAATACGTGGAAGAATTAGCAATGACGGCAGAAAAAGCTGCAAGAGAACGAAATTCAAGAAAAGAGGAACAGATAGGTAGGGTAATTCAAAGAACTCCTGAACTTGCCGGCTCCAATTAATCCACCTGACTTCGAAGTAGCACACGCAGATCTTCCTATAGATGTCAATCCACCAACGACGGAAGAAATTAGAATGACCATCAGATAAATCAAGAGAGGGAAAGCAGCAGGATTCGACAATATACCAGCTGAAGCTTTGAAGTCAGACATCAAATGAACTACAAACATTATTCACCTTCTATTTAAGAAGATTTGGGAGGAGGGACAGGTGCCGATGAACTGGAAAGAAAGACACCTCATCAAGATTCCAAAGAAAGGAGATCTGAGCAAATGTGAAAACTACAGAGGCATTACACTACTGTCATTACCAGGGAAAGTCTTTAACAGAGTGTTTCTGAACCGGATGAAAGACGCAGTAGACTCCTAACTTCGAGATCAACAAGCTGGATTTCGTAAGGATCGGTCGTGCACAGACCAAATTGCGACACTATGGATCATCGTCGAACAATCAGTTGAGTGGAACTCGTCACTATACATCAACTTCATTGACTATGAGAAGGCGTTTGAAAGTATGGAAAGGAGAGCATTATGGGAACTATTTCGACACTATTACGTAGCTGAGGAGATCGTCACCATCATACGAAACTCATATGACGGAGTACACTTCGAAGTTGTGTTTGGAGGACAGCTGACAGATGCATTCCAAGTGAGAATTGGAGTTAGACAAGACTCCCTACTACCCATCTTCCTCTTTCTTTTGGTGTTCGGTTGGATTATGATGACCTCCACATCTGAGCGAAAGCACGGAATGCAATGGATAGCGCAGAATTGATTAGAAGATTTGAACTTTGCAGATCACCTGAACCTTCTATCTCATACACACTAACAAACGCAGATGAAGACAACTATTGTAGCAGCAGCCTCTTCATCAGTAAACCTCAATTCATAAAGGAAAACGCGACACCCTCAAATATAACAAGGAGAACAACAACCCAATCACATTTGATGCATAAGCTCTAGAAGATGTGGAATCTTTCACTTACCTGGACAGCATGGTCGATGAACAAGGAGGATCGGATGCGGACGTAAAGGCGAGGCTTGGCAAAGCAAGGGCCGCATTCCTACTGTGGAACCAATTTCTATAGGAAGAGGAAATTAGGAGAAGACGTTGAAAGTGGATAGGACATAGATTGTGGAAATCAACAAACTGCATCACAATGCAAACCTTAACTTGGAATCCTGAAGGGAAACGGAAAAGAGGAAGGTCAAATAACACACTGCGTTGAGAATTGAAAGCAGACATAGAAAGAATGGACAGAAACTGGAAAGAGCTGGAAAGTATTGACCAAGATAGGGTTGGATGGAGAGTACCGGTGGGCGGTCTATGCTCCTCTGCGAGGGGTAACAGGTGTAAGTAAGTAAGTAAGTTTGAATAAAACTAAAAACAAATTCAACATAAAAAGTTATTTATAACGTAATAAGGAAACATCACCTCATTATTTTCTAGTGGATACCATTTGATTTTATTCGCATTAACTTTGTTGTATAAAATAAAATAGGACTTCTACTCATATGACAACTTAATAGATATGTGGATAGATGTGTAAATTTGTTGTAAATGAAGCTTCCAATTTATCTACTAATTTCGTCTAAAAATTAATGCCCTAATGGGATTTAATAATTGCTATTAGTTGTTCGTAATTAGTTCCTCGTTATTATAATGTGTTAAAATGGAAACTATTTTCTTTTATATGGAAAAAAACTTTGAACATTAATAACTAGAAAGGTCAAGTCATACGGTTAGATCTATGGTTAGTCCAATTCATTCATAACCTTGTTTAAAGCTTTTCCTGTTTAATTGATTACTTTCAAATATGTTAATTAATTAGTAAAATTATCTACTTTTTGAACACTTCATGTTGAAACAACATTCTATGGAAGTATAAAAAGAAAATTAAAAATTCATCTTCTATCATAATAAATTGAACTCACGAAGTTTAATTAGCAACCTT